GGTGGGAAACTAGGGGGGGGAGGGGAAGGGAGATGGGATTAATGGTAGTAAATATCTGTCTGGGGATGGGGAGACACCTCTTATCAACAAGGGTGCCTGAACAAAGCACATTTGTATACCTAACCCTTAACTGTACCCCACAATATCATAATTAAAAATATTGATTATAAAAAAATCAATAAAATTGATAAACCTTTCATTATATAAACTATGAAAAAGAGAGGACATTCAAATTACTAAAACCAGAAATGAAAGTAAAAACATTGCAATTCATTCTACAGAAAGAAAAAGGATTATGAGAGTACTATAAGCAATTGTTGCCAACAAATTGGACAACCTAAATAAAAAGGGAGAAATTCCTTGAAACAGAAAATCTACTAAGCAAGCCATGAAGAAATAGAAAACCTGAATAGGTTTATAAGCAGTAAGAAAATTTAATCAGTAATCAAAAACCTCACAACAAAGAAAAGGCATGAACCTAATAGATTCCCTGATGAATTCTAGCAAACATTAAAGAACAAACATCAATTCTTTCCAAGCTGTTACAAAAATTTTAAGAGGAGGAAATACTCACTAACTCATCTAAAAGCCAGACAAAGACTCTACAAGAAAAGAAAACTACAGACTAATATCTCATATAAACACTGATGCAAAAATCCTCAACAAAATGCCAGCAAGCCAAATTCAGCAGTGTTATAAAAATTAGCCATCATGACCAAGTGCAATTTATTCTTTGAATGAAAAGATAGTTCAACATATGAAAACTGGTCATTGTAATTCACCACATCAGCAGGATGAAATAAAAAAGCCACGCAATTTCAATTAATGCAGAAAAATGACAAAGCTCAACACTCTTTCATGATTTTAAAAAAAATGCCCAACAAACTAGGAATAGAAGAACCATGAAAATATAATAAGAGCCATGAAAAATGCACAGTAAACATCATACGTGATGGTAAAAAACTGAAAACCTTTCCTCTAATCATGCAAGCCAAGGATGTCTGCTTTCACCAGTTCTATTCAACACTGGAAGTCCTAGCAAGAGCAAGTAAGCAAGATAAATAAAAGGCATTCAAATCAGAAAGGAAGAAGCAAAATTAATTCTGTTATTAGACTGTATGATCTTATATGTAGAAAGACCTAAAGATTTCCCCCAAAAAAATTTGTTAGAATAAATGAATTCAGCAAAGTAGTAGAATACAAAGTTAACTCACCAAAATCAGTTGCATTCTATACACCAACAAGAAACAATCTGAAAAGGAAATTAAGAAAATAATTGTATCTCCCATAGCATCAAAAAGAATAAAGTACCTTGAAATTAACTTAACCAAGAAAGCCAAAGACACAATAAAAACTATAAAACATTTCCAAAGAAATTAAAGGAGACAAATAAATGGTAATACATCCCATATTCATGAGTTGGAAAACCAACTATTGTTAAGATGTTGGTACAACTCAAAGCAATCTACAGATTTAATGCAATCCCTATCAAAATCGCAATGATTTTTTTTCAGCGATAGAAAAACCTATCCTAAAATTCAGATGGATTATCAAGGGACTCCAAATAGCCAAAACGATCATGAAAAAGAAGAACAAAGCAGGAAGACTCACACTTTCTGATTTCAAAACTTACTACAGAGAAACAATAATGAAAACAATATGGTTCTGGCATAAAGATAGGTATACAGACTAATCAAATCAAATAGAAACCCTCACATATACTCTTATGAAATTACTTTCTTTTTTTTTTCCGAGTTTTTTTTTTTCACTCCACTCTGCCGCCCAGACTGGAGTGCAGTGGCCACTCCCGGCCCCCCCAGCCTCGACCTGCTGGGCGATCTTTCCACCTCAGCCTTCCGAGTAGCCGGAATTACAGGTGCTACCACGCCTGGCTGATTTTTTGATTTATTGTAGAGATAAGGTCTCACTGCCCAGATAGGTCTTGAACCCGCGGGCTCAAGCAGTCCACTCTCCTTGGCCTCCCAAAGGCGCGGGATTACAGGCTGAGCCACTGAGCCCGGCTTAAAGTTACATTTTTAAAAAAACAAAAAATTGCCCTGTAGTTAAACGCTTCCTGAGAACAGGCCACAAAACAGATACTCAAACATGATAGATAATTAAGGGATAGTAATTGCTTTCCATACTTAATCCAGTCCCATGTTTCTATCTCAGTATATTTTCCCCCAGAAAACAAGTGTGAGAATCCATCTTCAGATGACTTGCACAATGTACATTTCACCTTTGTTGTCTTCTGAGAGTTCTTCCCTTGATTTTTCTTTAGACTCTGGAATGTGTTCGATATTCTGGTCAATGGAAACCTGTGTTTGTTAATCAGAAATACCCTACAGAAAGAGGTGCCATGGGTATCACAAAAATAAAAAGCGTGAACTAAGCTTTTTGAGATGGTAATCTGAAAATATGAAATTTGGAAAAAAATGCTTTATTAGTAAAGAGCCCTTCTCTTAATTTTTAGAAAGAAAGAACCTGTTTGCATTATGCTGTGAAGAAAAAATTTACTTTCATTGATTATCTCCTCATTATCCTCTTAATGCCTGTCCTGCTTATTGGGTATTTCCTTATGGTGAGTACAACACTTGTTAGGACATAGGGCAAATGTGGAGGTAGTTCTAGTGTGACTTATCAAGTTTTGCTAGGCCAGGGAAATGTTGAAAATAAACAATAACAAAATGAGCCTGTGGTTTGTATTCTATAAATGACATTTGCAACATATATGCAATGCTATAATTGAAGTAAAGCAAGAAAAAGGTAGCAGAAGTAGTTAGTCAATGGTAACATAATCTGTGCAATGTTTGTTTATAAAAATAACTTAATCTAAGATAGCCAGGCCTGTAGTCCTAGCTACTTGGGAGGTTGAAGCGAGAGGATCACTTGAGCCCAGGAGTTCAAGGTTGCAGTGAGCCATGATCATGCCACCGCACTCCAACCTAGGCAATAAACAAAACCTTGTCTCAAAAAAAAAAGAAAGAAAAATAATTTAATCTTAACTGAGAATATTCTGAAGTAAAAAGAATTCTGAAAGTCTAAAAAATCCTCTTCCTTTCCTCCTTTTTTTTTGTAAGGCAAGTTTATGTTTTTGTACATATCTTTCTGAGTTTCTGGTTTTTAAGGATGTCCCTGGGGGTGCATTAAAAAACAGATCCCAAGAGTTTCCATCCAGAAATTTAAAAACACAGAAGACAGTTATTGAGAATTAAAAGCCCATCTTTTACCTTGGTGGATTTTTTCACACTTGTATGAAACTTTGGCAGGCAGGAAAGAAAGATGTCTTTGGTATAGGAGTGCATATTATGAGATGAAGCTTGAGGATTTTTTGCTCGTTTGTTTTTTGTTTAAATAATGTGATAGGTTTGCGCTGACTCATTCACTTGTATCTGGTTTCCCTGTGGACAATTCCACCTCAGAGATATGACTCAACAGATGCATAATTTACTCGAGTTAAATGAACAAGCTCTCTTCTCTTTGTAGCTAATAGACCCAGGGTGTTAGTTATTATCCCTGTTAACATAAGCTCCAGAACAAGTCTGCCAGTCAGAAATGTTATTACCTCCTTGGATATTTAAATGTTACAGAACTTGAGGAGATATAATTAAGTATGATAATGTTGATTTTGATATTTGGATTTAAGGGGAGAGGAAAAAGTTTTGATTCGCTGGTAAACACATAATCTGCTTATATCCTTGAAGATTTCTTAGATTCACTGGGTATTTAGCATATAGCTTTAAAATATTTGTAGTTCTGGGGTAGGGAGACTCTGTCATTCATTTGTAAGCATTTTTTAGAGACTGAAGAAAAAAATCACAACTATGAATATCAAGGCTGACACACAACTCTGCTTTCTAAGACGATTCAATGTTTAGAGGCCAGTGGTCTTGACAGAACTACTAACCATAATGAATAGCCTGGCTCTATTGGCCACATGTAAGCTACTTGTTAATGGGGCCTGAAATTGTAGATCTGTAATGCATAGAAAATAAGTGATGTGAGAGCAAATGACAGAGGAAGGGACCAGAAAGGATTGAGTTACTTTAGAGAAGAGAAGGAGAAAAGCAGTTTAGAAAATGACACAGGAGGGAAGCGCAAGGAGAGAAAACTGGATGGCGCTTCCCAGGTGATGATGGAGCCGAAACTGAACTCCAGGCTGTGCCCCACTTGAGCAGGGAGAGCTTGGCTTCCTCAGGTGATGGGATTTTGAGGGAGGTTCCAACGGGCATATGGTCAGATCTCAGGGGTCTGGGAAGGAAAAATGGATTTCTAAGGGCCCTAGTTCATTTTATTTATTTACTCAAGCCTTCGACATATGTTTATTATGAAGCTGCTATATGCCAGATGCAATGCTAGGTGGTAGGGACATAATGATAAACGAATGAAAAACTGCGAGTTACAGGGTGGTGGAAAGAGAGTCATTCATCTGATGACACAAACATGTAAAATAACCATGAAACAGGTGATACAGAGAGGTGATTGGTGTTAGGAGAGCTGAGAGAGAGAGAGAGAGAGAGAGAGACAGAGAGACAGAGAGAGACAGACAGAGATTTCACCTGGTCAGGTAAAGCCTCAGGGGAAGAGGAGCTTGGGCTAAGATATGCAAGATGAATTTTTCAGGCTGAAGAGAGGAGGAGGCTTCTAGACAGAAGGAACTTCCTGTGCAATGATTCTCTGGTAGGAAGGAGCCTAGTGGAAATAAAAGACTAACAAAAACCAGTGTAGCCAGAGCAGAGTGAGCCAGGAGGCGTGGAGGGAGAGTGAGGTATTGGGCCATACGTGGGGCCATGCAAAAGAGGTGACTTTTGTCCTTGGAGCAACAGGAAGTTGTTGCAGAGTTTTGAGCCAAGAAAGGAAAGAGAGGTGCTGGAACCCATCCTCAGGAGAATTTGGTATATCTGGGGTGGGGCCTGAGAACGTGCATTTCTAACAAGTTCCTAGTGCTAATGCTGCTTTTTCAGGTGCTGACTCTCAGAACCTGGCTTTAACAAATTATTATCAGAGGGGAATTTTAAGAAAAATGCATATATGGATAGAAGTTTTGGGATTAATATGAAGTTTATTGATTAAGCAGTTTCAGGCAAAAGTTGGAGAAACTGTAAATAATAAACCTTTCTTGTAATTGCCATTTGTAATAGGTATCAAAGACCAAGCAGAATGAAGCTCTTGTACGAATGCTGCTTGATGCTGGTGTTGAAGTTAATGCTACAGACTGTGTAAGTCTATACTTCTAACCCTTTTTCAAACCTGTAATCCCAGCACTTTGGGAGGTGGAGGCCTGAGCTCAGGGATTCGAGACCAACGTGAGCAACATGGCGAGACCTCGTATCTACAATAAATCAAAAAATTAGCCGGGCATGGTGGCGCATGTCTGTGGTTCCGGCTACTTGGAAGGCTGAGGCAGAAGGATCACCTGAGCCCAGAAGGTCGAGGCTGTGTTGACTGTGAGTGTGTCATTGCACTATAGCCTGGGTGACAGAGTGAGACTCTGACAAAAAAAAAAAAAAAGAATATTCAAAATGGTTTTTGCAGGTAATGTACTTGTCATTTGTAAAGTTGCTTGCTTTACTTTACTAGACACTTTTACATTCGTTTTCTTTATGTTTTCTTTCTTTTTTTCACTGATGGCAAGGTGATTTTGAGGTTATTTGTATTCTGCTAAACTTATGGGAATACAATTTCTGTTAATTATAGAGCATTTTAAAAAAGAGTTGACTTTAGACCAGCCTGGGCAACTTGGCGAGACCTCGAATCTACAATAAATCAAAAAATTAGCCAGGCATGGTGGCGCATGCCTGTGGTTCCAGCTACTTGGAAGGCTGATGTGGAAGGATCACCTGAACTCAGTAGGTCAAGGCTGCGGCGGCCGTGAGTGTGCCACTGTACTCTGGCCTGGGCGCAACAGAGTGAGACTCTAACTCAACAAAAAAATTTGACTTCAATGTTGGTGTGGAGTTAAGGAACATGAACACTTTGATAACAAAATACCATCCTCAGTAGCTAAGAAGTTGGAGCAACTGAGGACTGGATTTTCCATCTGCACCAAAAAAAAAAAAATAGGAAACTGGAGTCAGAATGCCCATATTTTATATAAATCTGGGCTTGCCACATTTTATTCATGGGAGTTTTAAGCAAGTTCTAAACATACTGGACTCTCAGTCTTCTCATCTGTAAAATGGGGGTATGGATAACATTTATCTTATTGAGCTGGTTCATGTAAAGCACTTAGCAGAGGCATGGCACACAGGAAGGGCTCAATGAACGTAAACAGTAACCAAGATCCTAATTCACTGATAATAGAGCCTCTCCCAACCTCGTGTAAACTAAAATTAGATAAGAACAAAGGCCAAAGAAAAACCCAGATGGTAAGGGAAGTGATAACAGCAGCATCAGTACCCGCTCACTTCTTCCTGTTTATACCTGTAAGGTTTTGTTTTCACCTTTTATCCCTGCACTCTTGTATTCATCTTCCTTTCTAAACAATCATAAATAAGACCGAAGTTTACTTATATGGTGGTGTTTTATTTGCTTATATTGATTGAATAAGGTTTTGGGTTCCTAGTTCTTTATTGAAAATTTAGGTAAGTGAAAATTCGATTCCAAAAAGTTAACTTTCTATTTGTGACACCCAGCTTAGTTTAGGCGTATGCACACCTGTGTGTGTGTGTGTGTGTGTGTGTGTGTGTATTATGATTGTTCTACAATAGAGAAAATGTCCCTATCCCTGTTTCTATTAATTATTTACATCATTTTAGCTTTGGTCATATTGGTGTCATGTTTAAATGGAGGTAGTTTTGTGTAGGGGATTGTGTGTGTGTGTGTGTGTGTGTGTGTGTGTGTGTGAGAGAGAGAGAGAGAGAGAGAGAGAGAGAGAGAGAGGCAGACTGGAGAGAGAGAGAGAATAAGAGAATAAGTTTATGAAATGTATGTTTTATTTCAAGTATAATTTTTGGATACATTTGGTTAGACAACAACTATCATTGTATCATCACTCCCTTAAATGCCTTTGAAATATATTAGGTGGTTATTAAAGATTAAATTAAAAGTTTGTTGAAGGCTTTTCTTGATCCTTCATTTAAATTTAATAGATTTAAAATTTGTGCCTGTGACCAAAATTTCTCTAGGATATTTTCCCAGCTTGTCTCTCTTTCTCTAGATATTACATTTCTGTGGACATATGCATGCATGTACATACTCAAACAGGCATCCAGTTCTTCTACCATTTTTCAAAAATTATCTGAATATTAAGATCTATTTTCTAAGTAATGCAGTCTTTTGTATTTTTAGACTCTATGTAACATGAAAAATTCAGAGCTAGATTTTCCAGTCATTTTTGTTATGCATAAAAATAAGTGATTACAGTGTCATCTCCTACAACTTTAGAAGTATTTCCAGGGAATAAGATTCAGAGGGAATTCTGTTAGTCTGAATAGTCAAGGACTATTTCAAGAAGCTTGGCTGCTTCTTGAAAGGCAAGATTTTGGACATCAATGCCCCACCTATAATATTTTCACCTGTAGTTAGTGTCTTAAATTGGTGCCAACAGGGTAGATACCCTATTCTATCACACATAATATAAGCTATAACAAACCAAGTTGGAGAGACTTCTTTGTGGAAGGACATTGATCTTGTAGGTGTACTGTACTAATACAAGCACCTGCCTTCTTCAGACTGCAAGGATTTTAATCAGAACCATAGAGGATAATATTTTCAAAAAGGCCATAATTCTTTAAGGGAAAAGATGGTGACGTGGTCAAGGAGACGATTGCCCAGGCTCATAGCATTCTACAAAAGAAACCTTGGCATGATTCAGAATCAGCTTTGTGTCAGCTGCATTCTTTAGTTTAGGACAGAAAATGAAATGTTCACTATCTGGGGTATGGGCCACCCAACCCCTCCCCCTGCACAATATGTCCTTGTAGCAAACACGCATGTGTACCCCTGAATCTAAAATTAAAATAAAGAATATGCTACACAGAAATCAAGTATTCATTTTTCTGGGGAAAAAAAGGAAAAAGTCAGGTGTTGATGGCTTTTAAGATATTCATAAATATATGCATTGATGCAGAGAAGACAACTTTTTTTATATAATCAATATTTTTTATTATGATATTGTGGGGTACAGTTAAGGGTTAGGTATACAAATATGCTTCATTCAGGCACCCCAAGAAATGCAGTTGCCCATAGATGGTTTGCAGACTGTTTTGCCTGGCTGTGTACTATAAAGTGTGAAAAGGACTTGCTAAAAAGCCATGTGCTGTGGTCTGTGGAGAGCCCAAATGACAAGTGGCAACTCTGGACCTCTGTGTTTCAGTACGGCTGCACTGCGCTGCATTATGCCTGCGAGATGAAAAACCAGAGTCTTATCCCTCTGCTCCTGGAAGCCCACGCAAACCCCACGCTAAAGAATAAGGTAAGGGTCTGTGATCATGGCCTATGGTCCTTCTAGAGGCTTAATCTTCTAATCTAGGCCTTGTGTTGAAGTTAATGATTTGCCTCTGATGCTAATAACAGCTAAGGAGTGCAGTTATCCTATTACTATTAGAACTGAATAACATTAAAAGCCCTTGCCAAGCCAGAAGGTTAGTATAAACTGTTTACTAGATCTTTTGCATTGACACTTGAGTCTATTGGAAATAATTGTTTGTTTGTTTTTTTCCTCAGCATGGTGAGAGCTCACTGGATATTGCTCGGAGATTAAAATTTTCCCAAATTGAGTTAATGCTAAGGAAAGCATCATAATCCTGGAGATATAGAAAGTTAAAGGACTGGATTCTAGCTCTATCATGGACTGTTGGTCTGCGGACCACTCAACCCGGATGCTGCCGTTTTATGGAGAGAATGATGGCTGTCAATGTTCATGCTTTTGAAGAGATTTCTATTTATATTTTTGTTCAGTGGAGTTCAGCATGGCCACAGTCCTTCTAAGGGGAACACTAAAGTTGTTGGAATCTCCATTTCAGTCAAAGACTGGTTTCAGCTGGGTATGGTGGCGTGCACCTGTAATCCCAGCTACTTGGGAGGCTGAAGTGGGAGGATTGCTTGAGTCTAGGATTTGGAGATCAATCTGGGCAATTCAGTGAAACCCCATCTCACAAAAATGAACAACCTAATGTTTCAAACTCAATCTCTTCTGAAGAAGAGAAGTTATTATCTGAGATGGCATTCTCTTTTTCCAGTTGTGTCACTCTTATAAAAATGCTGTCTGGTCTATGTCATGCCCTAGGAGACAAACTGTTCCTCTCAGGCTCCTTAGAGTGCTAAGAAGAAGAATTAAAGTATGTATATTTGTAAAGAATGGTGTGTGTGGGTTTAGAGATTCATATGTAAATATGCCTTTGATGAAACAACTTCAATGAAAACATTTTCCAGGTGTCACTGGCGGGTGTGTTTACACCACAGACACCGGCAAATTAGCAAATCAGAACTTTTTTTTTTTTAGTTTCCAGATAGCTAGTTTAGCAGTATACTACTAGACATTTTGGTATCAGTTTGCAAATACAAGCCTTTTTGGTTTGAGTAAGACGATGTAATTATCAAAATGATTGTTAAGAAAAAACATCTGGAATCCCTTCATAAATACAAAATAGTATCAAGTTTGTTAATTTTGTTTATTTTTTTATTTTATTTTATTTTATTTTTTTTTTGAGTTGAATTCTCACTCTGTCGCCCAGACTGGAGTGCAGTGGCCGCTCCCGGCCACCGCAGCCTCGACTTGCTGGGCTCTGGCGGTCCTTCTGCCTCAGCCTTCTGAGTAGCCGGATTTACAAGCACGCGCTACCATGCCCGGCTGATTTTTTGATTTTCGTTGTAGGGATGAGGTCTCGCCAAGTTGCCCAGGCGGGTCTCGAACCCGCAGGCTCAGGCAATCCACTCACCTCAGCCTCCCAAGGCACGGAATTACAGGCTGAGCCACCAAGCCCAGTTAATTTTGTTTATTTTTATTGATAAAATTTAAAATGTTATTGTAACTTATTTGGATAAAGGACCTCACAAGAAATAAAGCTGTATAATGACATGGTATTGGATTGTATTTCTTAGTAAGAAATTATAAATATCAAAACATCTTTCTCACTTCCTTTGCAAATGACACAAAGTAGAAATAAATACACTTTAAAAATATGATTGAATTTTATAAATCAAGACTGCATCATACATAGCTGTAGCCACAGGCTAGGCCACACTGTTTGTGTTAACAAATATAGCCTAAGAGTGAAAGATTTACCATCCTTGAACAGTACAAAGGTTTAACAAAAGTCAAATCCTGCAATATTTATGGAACTATATACAGGGCCAGCCCTGAAGGAACATATCTTATGAGGTAAGTAGTAGTGTGTAGATTAGACATAGATGCTGGATCCTGTAAATGTCTTAATACAATGTTCAAGATTATTAGCATTGAACTCCAGGGGACAAAAAAAAGGGTACCTTTAACAGTGTAACATTGACACAAACCAGTATACCTTTAATTTGGTTTCAGAGACTTTGCAAAAATAGTATTCATATAATGCACTACTCTCGTCCTTTAAACTATGTAAAAACTGAACAATTTCCTAAAGAAATAAGTCTAGGTTTGTGAGTGAGTTGGGGTGACTGTCTCACATTAACTTTGTCGAGATTAAAGGATAAAATACATGATAATTTGCATCATTATGCTCATGACATTATAACATTTTCTTCCTAGCTTTTAATTTGCAGGGGCAGAAAACTGGGCCAGGAATTTCTAGCCATTAGGTCTCCTAGCAACAAGCTGTAAACTCTCAAACCAGCTTAGACTGGAATCTAGGTACCGAAATGCACATACACGCTTGATGTAACACATAATGCATTTATTGGAAATCTCATAAATATCCTACAACATTTTCTCCTCTGAGATCCAACTATAAAACCTGGCCTTATTTTGAGGATGCTTAACATATACTTCATCCATACTGCAATAATGATTTTGTAGTTGTTGTTATTGTTGTTAAAGCAGCCTGACTTCCCGAGGTAGTGTTATGTTTCTATGGCAACAAGTTGAAAATGTCTAGCTTATTTTGTCGAAGTCAACAATGATCCAGAGAATCAAGACCTCAATATCGGTCTCAATTTGTCATTTTCCTTTACTGATCCAAAAATATGGCTTTTGGAAAAAATTAAATATTTTAAAGAGATTTACCTAAATGACATAGAGAATGTCTAGATATTTTCTGTGTATCAGGTAAAGCCTACCCTTCAAGATGTGGAATATATAATAGCATATGAAATCTGTGTTCACCCAGTGAGTAGTTTAATTAGCTAAAAAAAAAAAAAAATGTAAATGCCAGCTGTAGCATCAAGTACAGGAAATCTGAAGGAATATATACCATTTTTCTGTCCTCTCCTCTACTGACAGGCTAGGTTTCCAGTTCCGGAAATCCTCCTTAAATTCCTTCATGGATCCTTGCCCCATCTTCTGTGAGATTGTTCCTAAGATTTCTCAGTCTCAGAGGCTTCACAACATGACCTCGCATATTCCCTGGGAAAGGTTGGCCTCTGCCTTTGTCATTAGATGTATGATTTCATTGTACATACGGTGAGGAGCATCCAAACCCCAGATGAAATCCACGTGAGCCCATTCTGGGATGTTCTTATGGTAAATGAGGTTGGTCACTTCAGAGAGCAGCATTTTCACGTCTTCTGGGTTCGAAAGCCAGTCCTGACCTCCTGTCCACATTGCTGTAGGGACCGACATATCTCTAACTCTGTACTTTACAGGAGTTGGCTAGAGAAAAGGAATTATTTTTAACTCTAGGTATCGTTTGGATTTCCAAACTCATGATTTACATTCCAAATAAACATAATAAACATGCCATGTGTTGTGGTGAAGGGTTCGTGGGTGGTGGAGCATAAAAAACTCTGTGAAGAGTTTCTGTTCCAGCCCCTACATTAAAGTAAAACATTATTGAACCTCAGTTTCTTCATCTGCAAATGGGTATAATATCTGTCATCACTTACTTGGTTAAGTGAGAAAACACATAAAGACACCTCATGTCTTGTAGTTTTTTGTCTTCTTACTAAATACATTGTACATAAATTGCCTTTATAATTAATGTCCCTGTCCTTTTAAAAGATAATTTTGCAAACATGTCATGAGGCAAGAATTATGGACATTGTACAGAGAATGGCAAAGAAACCTCCTGGGAGGACTCACAACCCAACACAGAGACTTAATGTGATCACATGCAGCCCCTGAGGCAGGCCCAGCTTGACTGCCTCCCCCAAAACATGGGTAATCAGCAAATGAGCCTTTGTCCCTCAGGTAGTTTGAACGGGGTGTGTGTGTGTGTGTGAGTGTGTGTGTGAGTGTGTGTGTGTGTTAAATACCTGCTTCAAGAGTCCTCCTTTCCTTCCCTTCCCCCCAAAAAATTACCCTAAGAAGAATAAGTAATATTTCTAATTTCTGGGAACTTCCCTTATTCAAGCATTGAGTGCTGGTAGATACATTAGTCTGGCTGGCTGAGCCCTTGAGATTAAGCAGTTGAACCCTTGAAATTAATCCCTATTTCTTACCTGGAAATTCACCATGGAGCCTCAGCTCCAATTTGGGGTACTCTTTTTTCTCTTTGTGGCTCCCTAAGAATTTGGAGTTATAGCCTAATTTAGATATGAAAGGTGGAAATATTCTATGGGGCCAGCAATATATTTTGTTCTCATCTTACAGGTGAAAAGATTGAGCTAAATGTCACGTCTAGCTCTAAATTTCTGTGATTTTGTGACATCTTTTTGTATGTTTGTTTTCTCTTCCCCCTTTTTCTTTTTGAGTCAGAGTCTCACTGTTGCCCAGGCTGGCGTGCAGTGGTACGCTCACAGCCACCATAGTCTGGACATGCTGGGCTCAGGCTATCCTTCCACCTCGGCTTTCCAAATAGCTGGAACCATAGGCATACGCCACCACCCCTGGCTAATTTTTTTGATTTATTGTAGAGATGAGGTCTCATCAAGCTGCCCAGGCTGATCTCGAACCCTTGGACTTAGACGATCCTCTCATCTCCACTCCCCAAAGTGCTGGGATTATTGGAGTGAGCCACTGCACTCAGCTTTCTCTTCCTCATCTATTACCATTTTCTGGTGCCTACTTGCGTGTATCACTTTCTCATTTAATGAACTCAGTCTATTCAATTGAAGCTATCATAGAACTAGAATACTTTCTCTAAAGATGTATTTTAGGAAACAATGAAGAGGGATTTGAAAAGAAGTAGTTGAGAGTGACTGCGAGCTTCCTACCTATGGGAATTATAGTCTGTCCAATTTCCTAGCATTTTATATCTAGATTGATGCCTGACATTGGATGTTAAGTATGATATGACTCTCAAAGAAAGGTTAGACTCTGTCTCCCTCAAGCTCTGTTTGTATGGTAAAGATTTATTTACATTCACACATGATAACCAATAATCTCCAGTGAAGATTTTATGCTCAAAAGAGTATACCTATCCAATTCTGATTCTTCGTTCTTTGATTTTTAATTTTATTCCATCGCATCAACTACATATTTTCTTGGGTAACATAATAACACACATTTAAACAAATATATTTTCAGACCAGGCTCGGTGGCTCAGCTTGTAATCCCAGCACTTTGGGAAGCTGAGGCAAGTGGATTGCCTGAGCCCACGGGTTCAAGACCAGCCAGAGCAACTTGGCGAGACCTCGTCTCTACAATAAATCAAATATTAGCCAGGCATGGTAGCAGTGCCTGTAGTTCCAGCTGCTTGGAAGCCTGAGGCAGAAGGATCGCCAGAGTCTAGTAGGTCGACGCTGGGGTGGCTGTGAGTATGCCACTGCACTCCAACCTGAGATTACAGAGTGAGACTCCAACTCAAAAAAAAGTTGTTTTTTTAACTTGCAAATGACACATTCACTGAAAGTGTGACCAGGGAGCATGCTTAAGGATTTTCCAATTCAATAATTTTTATTTTAAAGATAAGGAAATTGGGGCCTGAAGAATTAGGGCACCCTATCTCTATCACACAAGTTTATAGCACAGAGGTAAGACTAACACAGTATTCCTCACTTGCCCTCTAATGTTCTTTTGATTGTGCCGTGAAACAACTTCACCTTCACCAGCCCCATTTGTTTGTTTTTAATCCTAAAGTAATCCTTCTAGTATTCACCAAAGACTACATTTTTCTCTGGACTCAGTCGATGTCATCTTGCTCCTGGGAAGTCCAGTGCCTCGTTCAGGTTGGCAACCTCAGCAAAGAGGACTTCCTAACCCACTGTAGAAGCTTGGTTAAGCTGTGAATGTTCTCATTTTCAAATGGAGTCAAACTCGAACCATTATTTTCTGCTTGAATTTCTTTTTTTCTTTTTTTTGAGTCAGAGTCTCACTCTGTCGCCCAGGCTGGACACCGCAGTCTCGACCTGCGGGACTCCAGTGATCCTTCCACCTCAGCCTTCCAAGTAGCTGGAACCATAGGTACACACCAACATGCTTGGCTAATTTTTTGATTTATTGTAGATATGGGGTCTCACCAAGCTGCTCTGGCTGATCTTGAACCCCTGGACTCAGGCAATCCTCTCCCTTCCGTCTCCCATAGTGCTGGGATTACGGGTGTGAGCCACCGCACCCAGCTTCCATTCTTATATTTTATTCCCTTCTTTAGAATAAACTATTGCTAAAACTTCCCTTTCGTGCATTTCTAAAAGATATATTTTTAGCAGATGGTATTTGATTTTCTTACCTGATTGCCTTTCTCCAGATTTTTGGTCTCACTTCCCCAGTCAAATGCCTGGAGTTCCCCAGAATTCACTGCCTAAGAAGAGACAAAAATTTGCAAGGTATTCAAAGGTATCATTGGATAAGGGTGGTGGTGGGTGGTGGGAATGTGCTCCCTGATCTGCAATTGTGAGAAGGACAGAGAGCAAAGACTGAGCCACTCTTCCATTCAGCATTGGGATACACTTCTTGGGAAAGTGGGAAGGTGAGAATGAAGCTTTTCAAGGAGGAAGATGAACACAAATTGCTTTTTTTTTTCTTTTTTGAGTTGGAGTCTCACTCTGTCACCCAGGCTGGTGTGTAGTGACATGCTCACAGCTACCGCAGCCTAGATCTGCTGGGCTCAGGCGATCCTTCGGTCTCAGTCTTCCAGGTAGCTGGAAACACAGGTGTGCACCACCATGCCTAGATAATTTTTTGACTTATTGTAGAGATGAGGTCTTGCCTCGCCAAGTTGCCCAGGTTGGGCTTGAGTCCATGGGCTCAGGCAATCTTCTCACCTTGGTCTCCCAAAGTGCTGGGATTACACTGCACCTGGCTCATGGGAGATATTGACCAAAGTTTGATCCAACCAGAATTCTTCTTTGGTTTTGATGATAATGCCTCTCTCTCTCTTTCTCTCTCTCTCTGTCTCTTGCATGCATGTACACACACACACACACACACACACACACACACACACACACACGACTTTCTCTCCTGTAACTGCAGGTGACGTCTGCAGTATGAGAACTCTTATGAAACTCTTTGGACAATGAGGCCCTACTTTAGCACTTGTGTTCCTACTTGACCTTGCTGCTACTGGGGGGAGTTGGAAAGGAGATTGTAGAAACATAATTGTCTGGCAGGGCATGGTGGCTCAAGCCTATAATCGCACTTTGGGAGGCCAAGGTGAGAGGATTGCCCGAGCCTGCAGGTTCGAGACCACTGTGACCAACATGGCGAGATCTCGTCTATACAATAAATCAAAAACTTATCTGGGTGTGGTAGCGTGTGCCTGTAGTTCCAGCTACTTGGAAGGCTGAGGCAGAAAGATCACCGGAGCCCAGTGGGTTGATGTTGGAGTGGCCATGAGCGTGCTACTGCATTCCAGCCTGGGCAACAGAGTGAGACTCCAACTCAAAAATAAATAAATAAATAAAAATTGTAAAAAAAGAAACATAATCTTCTTCAGTCACATCTTTTATATGGCTAGAGCAGAGAATGGTCTCATTTGGACCATATTAATTCATGCTTTTAAGATCCACTAATAATGTCCTAGGGCCACTCCTGTCCTTTTGACCAGATTACATTTCATTTTGGAATAAATGTGAAATAATTCCTGTCCTGTCAAAAGGGCATCCTTTGGCTACTTTAGGCAGAATATGCGAGAACTCTCAGTAAAGACTACAGATTCAACATTCTTACCTGGCTCCAGTGTAGAATATTTTGTACAGATGTTCCTGCAGGATTGTGGGCAACATAGACATTTGTTCGGCTCTGTAATAAAGCATGAGTGGTTTGTGGGACATGGAAAATCTCACAAGATGTGCATCTTGTCAAAACCAAATATCCAGGTGTCAGACTAAGAAATAGGAACATCATCAAATTATCAGCAATAATCTTTGAAACAGTAATATACACATGCACATAAGTAAAATTGTCACTAAGTGTATTCTTGGGCAACTATATTGTTCATCTAAGAATAGCTTCTCATCAGAGATCTGACCTCTTTAAAAAAAAAAAAAAAAACCTTTGCTAGAGATAATTTTGGATAAGGGCTTGTGTTTCAATCCTAGCTCTGCCATTTAATTTCTAGGGGGAATTGGGTGAATTATTTAATCCACTAAACTTGAGTCTAACTAATCTATAAAGTGGGGCTATTGATAACATGGAATATGTTAGCCTGGTACATAATACATGTTTATCAAATGGTAGCTACAAATCAAATTATTGATTCCAAAAAAGAAAAGGCTGGGCATGGTGGTTCATTCCTGTAATTTTAGCACTTTGGGAGCCTGAGTCAGGAGGATTGCTTGAACCCAGGCATTAAAGATCAGCTTGGGCAACATAGTGAGACCTCTTCTTTATTAAAAAAAAAAAAAAAAAGCTAGGTGTGGTGGTGTGTTCCTGTTGTCCAAGCTACTGGGGAGGATGAGGCAGAGTCACTTGAGTACAGGGAGTCAAAGCTGCAGTGAACTGGGATTGCACCACTGCATTCCAGCCTGAGCAACAGCATGAATCTCAATCTCTCTCTCTCTCTCTCTCTCCATGTGTATATATATATATATATATATATATATATATGAAAAATCTTCAGGATCAAAGACATAGTCTCCCGGCTGCTGGTTCCTGCTGCTGGTTCCTGGGAGTGCTGCTGGCCAACAGCTCTCCAAGACCAGCCTGCTTTGAGGCCTGCCCCACCTGCAGAGGGATGACTTGGCTAATGCTCCCCTATTATCGGTGTGGTCTGCATTAAGTGACTGGTTGATATGGGGTATGAAGACCAATATTTGCCCCCTAACTTGGGACAGCTCTGAAGGGTCATCCTGTCTCAAATCTCTGCATAATCAACTGAGGATTCTGTTGAAACTGCATCACCGTTGGACTTTTCTGTCTGCCAAACCCTGTTTCCTTCCCTTCTTGGGATATTATTCTTTTTTTTTTTTTTTTTTTT